GCCCCCCCCCACCCCCTCCCCACGCCCAACAAATCAGGGGCCAGCTGGCATCGTCGAATTCGAGGACCTGTCGCTGACAGAGGAGATGGGCCCGGCCCACTTTGGCGGCGACAGCGGCCAGGCCGCCATCAGGGAGCTGCTGGCCCTGCCGCCGCAGGCCCGGCTCGACTCCATCCCCGCAAACCTGACGCTCAGCGGGCCCCAGAGTGAGCTCAGGGGCCGGAGCCGGGGCGCCTGCCGGGCGAGGGGGCCCACCCGGTGTCCCCGTCTGTACTGCAGCCACGCGGGCGGCGCCGCAGGGGCCAGGCATTCAGGGCGGGCGGCCGCGCCCGCCCCGGCCCCCGGCCAGCCCGCGATAGCGCGCTCCGCGGCAGGCCCGAGCCGCGCTCCCCGCCCAAAAATCGAACATGACCACCAACCCAGCCCGGCTGCCTTCCCCTCTCCTCACCCCACCCCAGGCCTGCTGCTCCGCACATACTTTCTTAACGGCACATCCCGGCCCCGCGGCGCGACACCCGGGGGCGGCGCGCCGCCGCAGGGAGCCGCGCCGCAGGGCACCTACAGCTTTCTGGACACTACCCTGGAGTGGTCCCTCGCGCAGGAGGCGCGCCACGGCGGCGTCCCCGTCGCGGCGTACGCCGTGCCGCTCGCGGTGGCCGTGGCGGTGGCGGCGCTGCTCTCGGGCGTGCTGCTGTGGCGCCGGTGAGCTCGCCTGGGGTCGGCGCGGGGAGGGGCCGGCGCAGGGCCGACGGCCGCGCGCGGAGAGGGGCGGTGCGGGGAGCACGCCTTTCCAGCCGTGTGCGGGGATGCCTGGTGCAGTCGTTTGTGAGAATGACGGCATACAAGAAGCTGACACGGAGGCTTAATCAGCGCCACGCAGGAAGGGCAACCTGTTTGCCCTGTGGCACTCCCTCCGACAGTACTAGCCGCAGGGCTGCGATCCACCGCGCGCGCCTTGCCCACGCCGTCACCCTGGCGGTTGGCTGCTTGCCGCCGCGTTGCAAACGGCGCATGCAGCCCTCACATTTTACATGCACACGCGCACGGGCACGCACGTGCGCGCACACACACATACACACACACACACACACATATGCACACGCAAGCACACACATGCACACGCAAGCAAGCACACACACACACACACACACACACACGCAAGCGCACACACACACACGCGCGCGCAGGCACCGCCGGCGGCAGAGTGGGCCCACCTACTCGGCGAACCTCGATTCCCGCGCCAGCGGCCCCTCGTTCCTCGGGAAGCGCACCCCGAGCAACAGCTCAGTCTCGACCAACGGCACCGCCCCGCGCACGACCATCCTCACGAGCCGCCTGCCGTCCTCGACCGCCGGGAACGACGCGAAGGGCACGCGCAGCACCGGCGGCGGCAGCGGCCTGGCGGCGGCCGCGGAGGCGGTCGTCGCGGCGGCGGCGGCCGGCACGGCGGCGGGGGGCAGGGAGTTTGGCGGGGCCAGGGTTAGGGGGGCGCCGCCCGAGGAGATCCTGGAAGCGTACAGGTGCGATCGGGTAGCCGCGGACCCCCTGGCTGGGGCCCCTGCCGCGCTCGTCATCTTTAGCCAGGGGGCCCTTGTCGCCTTGCCCAGCGTCTGGGGGTGGGGGCCGCTGCCTCTGCGCGCCGCGCGCTGCGCACGAGTCCCTCGGCCCCGTCGCAGCAACCCCGATCGCCCCAGACGCCTCTTCGCACCCCACCCTCCTCGACGCCACCCGGCTCATATGCACTGCAATGCACGCCCCCCCCCCGCACTGCACGCCCCGCCCGCCTGATGGCGCCCGAATTTTTGCTGCTTGTCTCGGCCTCTCACTAGGAACCTCGTGGGCGCGCGGCCATCGGCCTGCGGTCAAGAGGAAGAGATGCAGCTGTTGTCTGTGTTGGGCGAGGGCGCTTACGGCAAGGCAAGCGGCGGGCGCGCGCCGGTGGTGTGTGTGCGCCAGCGGCGGAGGCCAGCGGGAGCCTTGGTCTGCGCGAGCAGAGGGCGTGAATGCATGCAAACAAGGCCCACTTGCGAGGTCATGGGCGCGCAAACATGCAGATGCACGCGCATAAACACACTCACACACACACACACACACACACACACACACACACACACACACACACGCACGTACGCACGCACGCACGCACACACGCACTCACACACACACACATACAAGCGCAAGCACCCACAAACAAACATGCACGTGCACACCCATACACACACACACACACACGCTTACACTTGCACACACACACACACACTCGGACACACGGGCGACAGGTGTACAAGGGGCGGTGGCGCGGCACCGTGGTGGCAATCAAGGTGTGGGCGATCCCACGCAGCAGACGCGGCACTTCCGCTGCGTGCCAGGCCACTCTGCGGCGCGTCGTGCCAGGCCACTCTGTGGCGCGTCGATGACCACAGCTAGTGACTAGCCGACGCAACGCCGCTCACACTTGCGGCTGCAGCGGGGCCGCCTTGCCCCACTCATGGGATGCTGAACCCAATGATTGCAATACCTCAACCGCCCCCCCTCCCTCTCCCGACCCCCATAACATGACAGGTCATGATCCTGCCGGCTGCCATGAGCGGCAAGGAGCGGCGCGAGAAGATGGCTGTAATGGAGACCGCCATATCCTCGTCACTGAGCCACCCAAATATCGTGCAGGTGCGAGTCACGGGACCTCGTCAGATGCTACGCAGACGATGACACTAGATGCACCGCGGGCTGTCCCGGGGTTCTGGAGGGGGCCGCCGCGTGGCGCCCAGCGCGCCGCCCGCCCCGCTCCAGAGCAACGGGTGGCGAGGGGGCCACAGGGGCGTGTAGCTGCGCTGGGCGTGCTTGCTCATTGCGGGCCTGCGCCCGCGGCGGCACCCGAGCTGCGTGGTGCCCGCGCACTTGATGTTGTGGCTCGAGCCGGCTAGCTCTGTGCGTTGTCGCTTGCCAGTTGCACCCCCCTGATGCGGCCCAGACCCTGACGTGTTCACAGACGCGCGGATGCGTGCGCTTGTGCATTCGCGCACGCTCACATGCATGCCTGCAAACCCTCACACCTGAACCCACCCCTCTCTCCCTCCGATCCGCCTGCCTCTCATCACCTCGCCTTTGCGCGTCCCTTCCGCTTCCCTCACGCGACAGACATGCGCGAGTTTCACAACCACATACACACACTCTATTGCACACACACACGCATCCTCACATGCAACACTCTTGCGCGCGTGCGCCCGCAGACCTTCACCTACAGCATCCGCGGCGTGAACGCCTCCGACCGCCGCAGCGACGCCGCCGCCCCCGCCGCGGGCCCCGCCGGCGCCGGCGCGGGCTCCCCGCACGACAGCTCCGGCTCCCTCGAGGGGCCGGCGGCGCCGGCGCAGGGGCAGGGGCTGGGGCAGGGTGGGGACGTGCACTCCTGGGAGCTGCGGCTGGTGCTGGAGTTTTGCGACCTGGGGTCCCTCAGGGAGGCGCTCAACGCGGGCACCTTCAAGGCGAATGCAGCGGCGGCGGCGGCGCCAGCGGCGGCGGCGGTCGGGCACGAGGGCGCTGGAGCGGGCGGGAGCGGGGGCGCAGGCGGCAAGGAGGGGCCCGCGGCGGGGGCAGAGGGGTCGGCGGCGGCGGCGCCTGGCGTGGACCTCCTGCACGTCCTTGACACGGCGCAGGACGTGGCGCGCGCGATGGCGCACCTCCACGCGCAGGCGAGTGCCCGCGGACGCGCGCGTGCTTGCATGGGTCGCCCCATCAGACAGGGGAGTCACGGGCGGCGCACTCCTGAGCTGCGGTGGCAACGACGCAGCCTTGACACCCGGGCCTTCCGCGCACGTCTGCATTTCCCAGGCCTCCGGCCCTTGGGGCTGCGGCCACAGCCTGCAAGATTCTGAATTTGAATCATTGAGTGCCCTTTTTGCCGACCGTCCGACACCATCCCCTGCAGTCAATCCTGCACTCGGACCTCAAGGCCAGAAACATCCTGCTCAAGAGCTCCCCGGCAGAGGCGCGCGGGTTCGTGGCCAAGGTGCGGCGCAGGCCCCTAGTTGCCCCCTTTTTGGGCCGCCGCGTGCTCTCACGCCCAGCCGCGGGTGTTTTCGCAAGCACCAGTCAAGAAGAGTTCGCTCAAAGTGGACTCCCTTCCCTTCCGATCCCTGTGCTTTTTAGAGTGGTGCCAATCAGCGCCACTCCCTCCACCTGATATGGTGTCCAGGTGGCCGATTTCGACTTGCCTTGGAAGCAATCACTTCCCTCCCCACCCCTGTGCTTCAAATGCCAATCAACGCCACTCCACTGCATGTGGTATCCAGGTGGCCGATTTCGGCCTGTCCATGGAGATCGACCCTCAAGACACCCACATCAGCGGCGCGTTCCAGGGCACCATCACCCACATGGTGCGCGCGCGCCCGCCGGCGCCGCTGCATGCACTGGGAATCGGCAGAGGGCGCTGGGGGGGTGCCCGAGGAGGCGGGGAGGAGAGGGGCCTGACGCCGCTTCTCGTTTTTCCTTTCCACGCCAGAACGTGTTTGTGAGGTGGGCAGGGCGCAATGGTCGAGCTGGGGGTGAAGGGGTGCTCTTCAAGGCCACAGCTCCTGTGTCAACGCTGGCTTCTCCTCACCCCTCCCTCACGCACTCGCCCCCCACCTCACCCCATCCCACCAGCTTGTACCCTCGCCCCCCCCAAACCAGCCCGCGCAGCGCGTTCCGCACGCG